AGCAGCAGTGCAAAACTTGGTCCTTTCATCTGCCTTTCTTATTGTAACTGAAAGAAGAATAGATGTAATTTACTTTTTTTCAGCCACTGAAGCAATGGCACCTCATGACTAGAYTGACAAAAACAATTTGTCAGAGAACATTTTGTCCCTTCGATTCTTTGAACCATTCACAACTTCTGCAGCGGGACTGGCCCCAAGAGCCACGGGTGAAGTTGGCCAGTTGGGCTCTGGCTTATGGGGTCCCTAAAGCCAAGGATGCACCTGGATGTCATCGGGCAAGCGGGGCTGGTGATGCTGAACACTTGAGAAAAGCGGGATGAAGGGAAGGAGCCCAGCAGTGTTTAGCAACACCAGAGCTTCAAACCTGCAGCCTCGGAGAGAGTGGCAATGTATACATTCAAGAGGGGAAGAGAACAGTGAGAGCGTAAGAGAACTCGAGCAAGGGCACGAGGGGCAAGTCGGAGCAATACAGGACAGAGAGGGAGGGATTCGGAGAGGGTGCACAGTGACCTGCTGAAAGCCGATACGACCGACTAGGGCAAGGTGAGGGAGCAGCCGGCGCCAGGTTGTTGTTCCCGACTGTTCCAACGTAGGAAACAGGATCTTACAGAGTGAGATTTCCCACATGATCTACATCAATATTTTTCCTTACAGTTGTTTTCTCCATCATGTTCACAGGTAAAGTTAAGCAGACAATGCTTTTCTCACTATTGTCCTTTTTTCGTCCCTTTGTAAGCTTTATCCGAGGGGAGAGGAAGTGCCACAGATCCCGGGCTTGCTTGGGATGCCAACCACAGCCTTCCCAAAGAGTTGTGGCCATGTCACTTAATGAAAGGCTGGGTCTGTGCTTGAGCTGGGGAGGCAGATCCCAGGCACAGGGTCCTTTCTGGCTCCCTGTCCTGTCACTTCCGAGACACGTAGCTGTGTGATGGGCCAGAGCAGGTCACTGATCCGGGCGAAAACAAGGAGTTTTCAGCTGGATCAGCTGCCAGATCTGCCCKCCTGCCCTGGCATGGTTACTGAGATGAGATAGGCGCTGACAACACAGAGCTGTGCAAGAACAGAGCAGCCGTGTAGCCCTGTCCGCAGCGCCTCGGTCCAGCACGGCCACCCATGTCTTCTGGGAAGCCTGGAAAGAAAAGTCTCTGCCAAGCTCTACTCAAAGAAGCCACCAAAATCCTATGTTTCAAACATAGAATTTAAAAGTCTGTGGTTTAAAAGGAAAGGAAACTGAATAGCTTGGGGACAAAACTTCCGGAACTACTGAAATATCTTCACAGATCAAAAAAAAATCAGCAACTATTTTAAGAGGATATAAAGGTAAAAAGGGCTGCAACAAGGCTTTATAATACAGTCTTCAGCTTAGGGATAATTCTGCCCTTTTTTACTATATTAAAAAGAAATCCTTGATATTATACCTTGATATTAAATATGAAATCATTACAAAATGAAACGCTAGTTCAAACCTTAATCATTCTTAGGCACTGTGTGACCATTTACCCTGACAGCTTTTTGAAAGCAGCTCGAGATTGCTCTCTAGAGGTGAAAAATAAGCATTTCATCTCTGAAAACTGTTTCTTCAGTCAAAACGTTCAAGAATTCCTGAAAGAGCATACGGAGAAACACAGAAGMACCATACTAAGGCCAACAATACTACGCACCCTCACTTTTATTTTAACTATTTAACATAAAAGTACCGTTCTGCCCAACAGCCTTTTCCATTCAAAGCTCACTCTGCTCTTGTCTCTAGGTCGGCTTCCCCTGCAGTTGTCCTCTGTGCTCTGGCCAACATGCTGCTCCTCAACCCTGCTCGAGGCCCACGCACGGCTGGGTGGTTTACACGGGTGGTTCACAAAACCCCGACCTCTGCAAGACTAAGGGTTCATGGTCTTCTCTTGCGGTGCTTCTTGCAAACCTAGTAAAGAACTTCACGAGTTCGTTCATACTAAAGCAACTCTGAAAGCGCCCCAGCAGGGCTCACATCCCCACCTGATAAAGGGCCGTGCCATTTGTTTATGACTCATCTCATGTATTGTGCCCTCGAAGACATTTAAGTTGGTTTAAGATAAACTACRTACTGTCTGTCTGGAGACAATTACTAAGCTGCTGGCAAATGTTAAAGTCATTCAGCRTAAGAATCACAATGAAGGGAGATGAAAGTCAAACACTCCGTTTATTGATACAAGAGGTTGGGCAGAATTCATCCTTTCCCGGTGGGAATGCTACCAGCCAAACAAATGCAGGTAAAGGTAACCGGTAAGAAGTTCTGCTCAGGAGTTAACACTGTGGGTGATGGTGTTCCTACATTTAATAATTAAGCAGAACATGGATACATTTATCTTTAAGAAGGCTTTCAAAATCATTAATATTTCTGTGAAATTAACCCAACAAGCATTTAAAGCTGAGTGTGTCAAAAAAATATATTGAAACAAGAGACACAAGCACACCAAGTCTCAGGCCCTAATGATGTTTGCCTCCCTTTACAGGACTGCCTCCACTATGTTCTTGTCTCTCATACTGGGGGAACCCAGCGCTCCAGATGTGTCTCACCAGGGCYGAGGGGCCTCTCCCTCCGCCTGCTGGCAACACCTGCTCATGAGGCCCAGGAGATCCTTGGCCACCTTTGCTGTCAGGACACTTTGCTGACTTGTGGTCAGCTTGGTGGTGACCAGGACCCCAGGTTCTTCTCTGCAGAGTTTCCTTCTAGCCAACAGCCTGTATGGTTGCACGGAGTTATTCCTCCCCAGCTGCAGGACTTCCTTTGATGAACTTCATGRGGGTCTTGCTGGCCCATTTCTCCAGCCCTTCCAGGTCCTGTTGCACAACCAGATGGTGTCTGTATCAGCCACTCCTCCCAGGCTTGTGYTGTCTGCCAAGCTGCTGGGTGCACAGTGCCCCATCAGCCAGCTCATCATAAACATATTAAACTCTGTTGGCCCCAGTACCAAATCACAGGGCCATCACCGGTGACTGTCCACCAACTGGACTTCACAACCACCTGAGCCCAGCTTTAATCCACCTCACATCCCTGGTCCATRCTTCAGTTTCTCTAAGGGGATGTTAAGGGAGACAGCATCAAAGGCCCTGCTGAAGTCAAGGTAAACAACATCCACTGTTCTCCCCTCCTTCCCTGAGGCAGTCATCTCACCGTAGTTGGCCACTAGATTGGCCAGGCACAACTTCCCCCTTGTAAGCCCATGCTGAATCCTCTTCCTTGTTCTTAAGATGCTTGGAAATGGTTTCCAGCACTGTTTGTTTCATTGTCTTGCCCAGGATCTACGTTAGGTCGACTGACCAGTAATTYCCCAGATCCTCCTTCCTGTCCACCCGGAAGATGGGAGTGACATTTGCTTTGTTCCAGCAAACGTAATGGTTTAGGGCTTACTTTCCCTAAGATCATCAGAAAACTCCTACTCTGTATCATACATTTGGTGATCTCTCCTAATAGACTGAGAGTCAGTAAGCAAGTGCATATGCCCCATGTCCCCTGCTTGCTCATAAATATTAATATTAATTAATATTAATATTATCTCTTTCCTGTCTTTGGGTAACTGTCTAGCCCTGGGAACCCCGAACAAACTCACTGCCATTATCATTCTATATTACAGTTTCATTACTATGCTTATCARTTTTCTAATGATATCTATGATAAATTTAATAAAATGTTAATATATTGCTATTTTAGATGCTTTCACTGTGCAGCACATTCCTCCCCTTCTCAGATTTTGACTATTTACATTCAAATTGTGAAGCTGCAGTTATGTCTGTTTTTCCTATTAAGACATATTTCACCTGTTCTTACTTAAAATACCCCTCACATTCCAGACTATATATGCTCTCTATTTCCTTCATAAATCATCCTCCACATTAATCACTTGGCATGCTTCTTACATACTGAAGGAAAAATTTCCATTTCTACTCAATTTAATTCCTGTTCCATTTGGTCAGAGTTCTTTTAAGAACCCTGGGACTATAATATATTGTATAAACAGAACAGAGGGTTTTTATTGTAGCCTTCCCTATAAATTATATCTAATCCAGACTACTGCCATGCCCTGCATGAAAAGTATCTCCCTTCACCATCAGGGCAAGGCAGGGCGCTCAGCTGCCCATGCTATTCCATGGTTGGCCTTTAATATTTAATTCTCCACCATCTTCCTCTCCTTGCATTCTGAGTCTACCACGTTAGCCAGAGTCTGGAGGCATCACTGAAATTCCTCTGCTGAAGTAGGAAGGAAAAAATCCAGCATGAGGAACCAGTCCCTCACACGAAGTAGGATCTGGCAGAGCTAAACCCGTACATTAATTCCTCATCTCTCTCCTTCAACCAAAGGATCCAATTAAATGCAGCACACGTTTTATCATCCATTGGTTACCATTTATTGGCTGTTGTGTTAATTATTCTTGCGTACACATCAAATTATCACTAGGATTTTACATTCGGGTATCAACTCTGGGTTCATTTTGTTCATCCCCTTTATCCATCACGGTCACACTGCAGCATATCCCGGTGACACCGAGCAGCGCCTCTCTCACCATGTCTGTCCGTGCGTCCGTCGTCGCTGCGCGGGGCCCTGTCACTGACACAGCCCAGGACACCCGGCCCTGTCCCGGTGYGAGGCAGCGCTGCGGGCTCAGGGCTCACACCGTTTCCCTGAGGCGCCAGAGGCCCTTTTGCTGCCAAGGTGCCTCCCCCGCAGCGGGTCCCCAAGGTGCCGGGCGTTCCTCCTCAAGGAGCACTGCCCTTMATGGGCACTTCTGGTGACCCCCATGCGCTTTCTGTCCTGGTGGGCCTGTCCCGCCAAAGAGCAGCTCTTCCTCTCACCAGGCTGAGCTCCTCCCCCTGAACGTGGACTGCTTCTCATCTCCCTTCTCCAAACCCTTCACCGGGAGAGAGGCCGGTGACAGACGGGCAGGGTKAGGTACTGGACTTGGCACCTTCCTACAGCTGACTTTGTTCACACTGACTTTGCAAACACAGAAGTTAAGACAGTTCATGAGGAGGAGAGACAAGTTCTGGTTTAAGGGCTTTTCAGGGCCTACTGTTTTGCATTGCATTGTTTTTTCTCTGAGACGTCAGAATTCCATTTCTCAACTCCAGCCACCAAGCACTAGCTACAACTTCTGTGCTCAGAAAGGGCCCTTTCTGATTCAAAGATGGAACGTGCCAAAGTTCAACTCTCCCTATCCAAGATAACTGTAGAAATGCTCATCATTACTCAAAAATACTTTTAAAGAATGTTGTTAAGTTTCTATACTACGGGCCTAATTAAGAACTAACTTTAAAAAAATAGCTACAGTATTTTTAATATTAATTTAGGCAAAGTTTCAGTCTTTCAAACCAACCTCTCACTAGCTCTGCACCGCAGAAAGGACGCTGCACAAAACAGGGGAGGCCTCTAGCACTAGACTGCTCAGAGACATGAATTGCTCCCAGGTGTCAACACTGTAGAGCAAGAGCTACAAAGAACATCAAAAAAATCCCCAATAGGACTAGTTTGTCAAGACTATTCCTCTTCCCAATAATTATTTATCGAACTTCTGAAGAGTCAGGAAGGAGATAAACACAACATACACATTCAGGTTCATTGGTGTGAGAGGCAATGACACATACTTGAGTATTTTCTGCCCAGTTCTGTGAATACCTTACAAGTAAGCGTTGAACTCTAGTGCACTTCTGTGCCATCATATGCAGGATACAGCACAAGGTTTCAATAGTTCAGCAGCTGATCAGGTTTAGACAGTGCAGCCACAGCTAAATATCACACAATAAATGGTGACACATTTGCACAGGTATTTTTATTTTTCCTGTGATTATAGTGCTTTGATCGTAATTTTAAAACATTCAGAAAACACAATTTCATACCATTTTACATACTTTACATCACAGTTCAACAATGTTAACACAATTGTATCCACTAAATCAAATGAACAAAATGGCCATGAACATTTACACTATTCTTTTGTAAACAATTTTTTATATAAACAATGGTAAATGGAATTAACACACTTCACCATATGAAAGAGGAATGACTTTTTCCTTAAATAAATGACTCTGTTTATAAATACTTCAATTCTCTCAATATACATTTACAGACATAATTGGTTAAAAGCAGATTACCTACACTTTCCTTAAAAAGAAAATGTCTAGAGATGGACCACAGTGGGCAAAATTCACCTAACAGAAGCAGCAAGCATAGGATTAGTAGAGTGTTAAAAGTTTTACTGTACTTCAACCTCACTTCTGTTTGTTTACATCAACACTGAGAGGATTGTCACGTTAGGGGAATTTTTACTTGAATTCCAGCAAATTGCAATCAATCTTGTAGTACACATATGGGTAGTATTCCTGTTGACTGAGGTTTAAGCCTGGAATATCCATAGTTGCCTGCAAGAGAGTTTGGAAATCAGTCACACTTGCACAGCTCAGACTTATTCAGAAACAGATGAAACATTTAGATGTTTGAGGAGGCAAACAGGTCAGGCAAAATTTCCAATCTTAAATTTTCACGTTCAAGTGACTATTTAAGCAACAGAAAAAATAATCTGAACTTGTAACAAAAGGGTAACAACGCTTCCAAACTGAAATGCAAATCCTTCTCAAAATCTAGATGGCCCTGTTGCTGTAAATGTAACGGCCACTAAATAGAAGGGAAAAAAAAAACCTACAGTGTTGTTTCACGACCTCCAAGCACAGAAAGTTGGAGAATGATGTCAGGTGCTTCAATGATGTAGGAAGCTGGATCAAGTCAGCATCTTTAGTTTTCACCTTGTTTATCAAATCCCTATCCCAAAGCAGCACTGACATATTTTGGAGAAAAAAACAATTATTATATGCAGTTGAACTCACTGTGTGGTCCATCTTCAGTTGATGTTTTAACTATGAAAAGCACTGCTTTTCAATACAGAACAGAAAAAAGCCTCTCTGCAAACCAGTTTTAAGCATGAGAATCTGACACCTGTATATGACAGGAATTCAGTCTTCAGCAGAAAAGAACAATAAAGTTAATCAAAAATAATGCTAGCAATGCTACCAAAAAAAGTCAGTATTTCAATGCCATTGCTCTCTTTGACTGTGAAAAATATTTTTAGTAATTTTTTCTCTAAAAGAAATCGTTCATGAAATAACACAGGACTGTCACAGTTGGACTTGATCTTGAAAATCTTCTCCAACCATAAGGATTCTATGATTCTAAATCAGATGCACTAGTTTCAACTCAAAATACTACTTCCTTTCAAAAAAAAAAAAAAAAAAAAAAGGAAAAAAACCCAAACATTTGCACTTTAAACATTTGCACTTTTTAAAGGAGGATTATAATTCTTTGTACTGAGAGGGAATGATGGAGAATATGGAGAGAGGCATTGCAACAAATTGAACTTATTATTAAATAGAAGTAGCAGTTAAAAAAAATTACTTACATCAATGATAGCTGCTGCACTGCTGTCAAGGTGCTTGTATAAGTCATACAAAACCTCCCTCAGTTTCTTCATTGTTTTCTTATTAGGCTGAAGGAGCATTGCCTGAAAGTTAACTGGCAAACCATACCTGAGGAAATCAAACAGAAAGCTCTGAAAAATGCTAAAATAGGCGTTAGGTTACCCTACTCTTTAGAAGAAAAAAAATCTTATTCCTTTTTGATAAAGTATCCTATAGGCAAAGAGGAAATTCTGCATGTTCTGCTCCCCCCGCCTCCAAAAATAAAGGCCATTCTGTATGAGTTCACAATAAGACATYAACAAAACAGAACTTTTTTCTTCTGTGAAGAAATATTTTCTTCTACAGATTAAGTTTTGAATATTCGTATTAGTTTACTTGCAAATTTTTGCTTATGCCAATATCTTGCCTTTACTGAAATCTTCCTTTCTAGATATGGGGAAAGGCAAGATTTTCAAACCAAGTCCAACTCCTTTCCTTATTCAAATTTCTCCCAAAATAAATTGGTAGCTACTACACGTCTGTAATATCTACATATCTGTAGCTATGTTCTTTTCTCACAATTGCCTCATCCTCTAGGATAATCCTTACTAAAATTAACACACACAAAACAAACCCACACAAAGTCCCCCCCAAAACTTCGAGTGTTCTGACTACCCAAAGCTGAAGTACAGTCTACTCTGTAAAATCAGTCATTCATTTAGCAGAATCACTACAGCTATTTTTTTCTTCARACTTATTAGCAATATTTCTGGCTGTGTAGGAAGAAAATAAACACAGATATATTTTACAGYGAGAATCCTGAACAAGAACTGCTGTATATTAGTATTTCAAGCCATATTAGTCAAAACCTGAACACTCTTCACTCTGAAATATTCAGAGTTCTCACAAAAACAGAAGACTTTTTAATTATAAGCTGCTCATTTTGAGCACCCTCATGAGTCCTTAATTCCTAAAGCACTGGGAAAAAATATCTCCATGGGGCAAGGTAAGCAGCTGTCCACCTCACAGGTTTCTCAGCTACTTTGCTCAGGTTCCACAACTGGCAAAAAGGGAACAAAGACGGGAGCTTGCTTCCCCACCTCTTGTCCTCTCCTGCCCAGATGACAGGCATTCASACACCTCAGGATGGGCAAGCCCACRATACACGTAACTTATTATAAGGTTTAGGAATGAAAGTGCTCTTCAGGTCTCTGGTTCTTACCTTAGAACAGATTCAACAAAAACTCGTAATGCTTTTACATGAATCCATGCAATGAAAGCTTCACTGAAATTAACTTTCAGCCACCGAACCAGAGGCCCCTGTGGAAGACAAGAAAAAGAAGGAAAATCTCTACCTCAGCTTCAGAAACAGATTCAACCTATTAAATATGGTTAAGCAGATACCCAACATGTTCATCATGATATGAAGACAACTGAAAGGCACAGCTGACTATGGACAAAACAGCTCAAGGTGTTTCAGTATGGAGTTAGAAGTTTGACAGTCTCGTGTTTACCTTCCCACTTGCTGTGGGCATTGTAACAATAACTTGTATTTTCAAATCCTTGTCTATTTTTGAATTTCATATATATATGCTCAGCTGTAATTTCAGTGTTTGATTCAGTGCAGGTAGGAGCACGTGTGCTACCAGAGACTCAGTTACTGCAGAGCAGATGATCTGGGCTGCAGGCTGGCTCTGCTGTGTCACCGCAGTGAGTTCTCAGAAGCACAAGCTCATGACTCAGGATGCAGCCTCAAGCAGCCAGCTCAGAGCCCAACAGGCCTACTGCAATGGCCTAGTTAGAAACACCAGGCAACACTCGGATTTTTCTCCAAATTCTCCTGTATCCAGGTAATCTGTAAATGTTAATGGATCCCTAACTGGTCAAGGGCAGTTTAAACCAGACCATTCTCAAGAACCTCTGAAGTCAAAGACTATATTTGCGCACACATCTTCGAAAGATCACATTTAGCGAGTTAAACGTACTGAAGTACAAACTTTACCCCTACAAATATGTCCAACTCCAGCCAAAATTAAAGATGAAGTAAATTAGTGCATCTTCCTGACAATTTCTGGTCTGAGTTAAGACTACTTTGTGCTTGAAAAATCTTTTTTTTTTTTTTTTTTTTTTTTTTTAACTCTATAACAACTAGTTTATACAGACTCACAAATTGTTTCTTCTTGTCAGTCGACAGTCTGTTCATTTCTTCTTTATCAGCTTTCATCTCTTCTTCATTATACTGGAAGTCACGGACCATAAATCTGCATTTGGAGGAATAAGTCACAAGTGGCTATCTAGAGATCCTTCAAAGTATGAGAGACAGAACACACACACATGCAAACACACACGGAATAAGCCTTACTTATATTCTCTGGCTTTATGCTTGAAGTCATCCACTGCCTTCCTGAACAAGGTGACRTTACAAAGGTAACTGTCTTGATCCTCAAAGAGAACACTGAGGGGAAAAGAGAGTGTCAGAATGAATACGGTTCAAGTCACAACAGATCTGAAATACAATAGCTGAAGTTGTTCTTTATTGATACTTAGGCAGGAATATAAAGGTAGATAGTTATATGAGCTTAATTCTCAAAATTAATCACTGTGCAACAGAAAGCTTTGGCAACCACTCTTAATTACTCMCTTAAAGAATGGCAGTTGACATTTCACATTCAACAGTCAGCCCACCAACTAGAAACACTTCATACAAGCATAGACATTTCTGCAAATTAAAATTACTTTACAATAGAAGGCTCTAAAGCTGTTTTAACTCTCAAGTATTGAGACTACATAATCCAAGCAGAAAAAGTATTCAAAAGGACAGAGTTTGTAATCAAAAATATAACCTATGACTTAAGGAAGATTCTGAGATTGTTATTGTTATACTTCAGAACTATACAGTTTCAAGAATTCACCTTGGTGAATTCAATGTTGTATGGTCTTCAAAAGCAGCACGATGCAAGACGATGCAAGATTTTAACAAGTCACTTCTTACAGTAAATTTAGGTCATGGTTTCCCAGTAGTTGCCACTTGTTTCAAATCCCAAGTACTGGCATAAACCCTACAAAAGGGCAACCCCTGTTCATAGTCGCCCCTCATCACGTGTTAGCATGAAGCTCAATGCACTTGATCCTGGATTAAATCACTTGCCTGAATGCACCTAAGTCCAAGCTAACCTTGCTCTTCAGTTCCTGCTGGAATAACCTTATTCTTCCCACATAACCAACAGGTCTGATATCTAGAATTCGAGGTCCTTCGAAAGTATCTCAAGTACAGCAAAGTCAAGCTTGACTCAGATAAAGCTAAAGTTTCTGTCAAGTTTTAGACTAATCTTTAAAAATAATCCTTTACAAATAATAAAACACCAAATGTGCTTATGAAGATATATGTGCAGACCAATACGTGATTTAGCATTTGACAACTTACTTGCTGGAACGTGGTACRACCATCTCTGCTAGTGTTTCATACTGCTTAACCCAGTCATTATAATTTAACCTAGAAAACACAGGTTATGGTCAGATTCTTAGTACTATGATAATAAACTATATTAACTTAATTAATGGATCAAGCTTTTCCAAAGAATTAAGAACAGTCATCACATCTTCCAACACTCAGTTGTAGGTTTTAAAAAGTACCCAAGATAAGGATGACTGTCCCCAATAGTCTCTTTGTACCATTATTGCTAATGCAATTGCATTGATAGTAGAAAAGAGAAAAATATTCTCTCTTTGGTTTTTACGTAAGTCCACGAGTAGAATTTTTGAAATCAAAGAMCTCTGAATTAGTGTAGTCCTAATTAAATATAGAGGACCAGCTAATTAGACTTAACTGTCAAGGTTTATCAAAAACCCCTCATGCAACTCCATGCTTCTACAATATTAAAAAAAGCACTTTTCCCACCATTACAAATGACTTCTTACAAGTCCAGCTAGCCTAAAAGACCACTGAGAACACTGGAAGGAAGCTCTGCCTCTCTTGAGCTCAAGGTGATGGGGTTTCCCTCTGAACATCAAAACCAAGACATGGGTAGAAGTAGGGGGCCACTGAGCACTATTCCTCCGCAACAAGAATGGAACTGTTTTGCTTTCCCCATAATTTTACATGTCACTGAGATGACTGCTTCAGGTACAGTGTGGTGACTACAATTAGTTAGAAAGTAACCTTGCTCCARTGCCAGAAACATAGTCTGGGGATACAAAGACAACAAGGCTAACTGGCCAGGATTMAGCTGTTTTCTTACTTTACAGCAATCTTATGGACTTATCTGGATCACCACTTTCCTTGTTAGAACTGTTTTTTGGTCATGGTTTTCTTTTTTTCCCCCCTCAAGAAAGGAACCCCCTAAACACTCTATTCCTGGCCAGTGATAATTCAGTCATTAAACACAGTACCAATTATTTTCATAAGGAGACCTTCTTCAGCACGGAAAGGAATCACTCTGTTAGCTACATGATGTAAGTCTGATTTCAAGTTGTTAGTGAGATCCATGAGCACTCATCACACCTTATGATGAGCTCTTGTGCAAAGGCAGTAAGTAGGTGCCCAGGCTCACTTGCCATCGCCTAGCATCAAAAATCTGTGTCAGTTCACACAGGAAAATCCCAAACCATTTTAGATGTCCTTTCTTACARTAGCATAGGACTGTGGAATCTATTATTGGATTTAGATTTATTATTTTATTCCGCTCTTAAGACAATACAACAAACTTACTTTGGTACAACCACTAATAACGTGACCAAATATTCGGAATCAAGTACAAAGTCCTCTTTCTTCACAATATCAGCAAGACTTCTGGTTAGCAAGCTTCCTCTGCAGAGAAACAGAGGTAGGGTAAACACATTCTTAAGATTTGAACTGGTCTGCAAAATAGCTTCAGTGTTTAGTTAGTATAACCTTTTAGAAAATGTTTTATCATTTAAGGATCGACTGTTTTGCAGAGCAAAAAAATCCTCATATGCACACTATATCTTACTGCTTAAAATCACTGCAAGTTTTTTCAGTAGCTACATGGCTGCACAATACAGCAAAATATTTATTTCCACGTTCCTAATATCAAACAGATGCAAGAAGTCAATCACTTTTTCAGAGTAWTTTAAAAACACAAAGAACCATTACATCTCAACCAACTCTAGTATATGAAACCTCAGGTACAATCAGGCTCTTCCACATCTACAGAATTGTAGTGAAAATTCAGAGTCACATTGCTCAGTAATCACAAAGGATTAAAACCTGTAAGGTTAAATGGGCTTGAGCTGATTACAACATACAATATTGATATACAAGCAAGTTTTAGCCCACTCAAATTAGCTATCCTTTGTTGACCCATGTATCTGAATCGTGCCCAGCAGGCTTTTACCATGAACTGTAATTACAGAATCACAGAATGGTTGAGATTGGAAGGCACCTCTGGAGACCATCCAGTCCAGCCCCCTGCTCCAGCAGGGACACCCAGAGCATGGTAGGTCTGGGTCAAATTTAACAACCAGAGAAGATCTACAGAAAAACTACTGTGCCTCAGTTTATTTCAGCTAGTTGTATGTAATGACAAGACAGCAGGTAATTTTTGTTAATTTATCATTACCTGCCTGCAGGCAAGAGCAATCTTTCTGCTAGTTATTTTTGGGGGACAGGGTACTTATGTGAAGAAAGGCACCAATACAGACTCAGCTAAAGCACACACAGCACAAGAGAAAAATTCCTTGTTTAGTCAGGCACCTAAGTGCAGTGCTACATGCCATATAAACAAGTTTGTCTCACAAAGTTCAACGATTTGTGCTATTTGTATGTATTTTAGTGCATTTCACAACCACTTCTCAGTGAGAAGTGAGCCAGAAAAACTAACTATAAATAAATGTTCTTTTATGATAGCTGTTATTCAAAATTAACAAACACCTCAAAAGAAAAGACCTGCTTAGCCCCGAGTTGGTACATATCGACCGTATGGTCAATACACTTGGTTCAATATATTGTTCAATATATGGCTCATATATACTTCCACCAGGGTGGGCATGAGCAAGCAGGCGGGACTTACGCATTCTTTCTTTCCAGATTCTGGAGGTTGCCTTTGAGGTTGTTGTAAGCGGAGGCTCTGGCTTTCAGGTCGTTATCAATCTGGTTTACTCCCTGCAAGATAAAAGGGAAGAGCGGCTAAAGCACTGAAATGGCTTCTAAAGGATTTCCTATCTTTAAAGCTGCTCTATCTGGAGCTGCTCTAGCTCCCAGCTGATCATTACTCCACCAGCTTGGAGCCACCACCCTCCAGCTTTGCTGACAGGAGCTATTATTCCCCACTACGACACAAGGATACYTGTGGGCACTCAGCATCATTTGCTCCAGGATTTACCTCATTTTTCCAATTATACTTCAACTCCTCAGAGTTCCAGTGAGGAAAGTGATGATAAACAGACCAAGAATTAACTAAGTAACCCAAAGCATTACTGCTTTTCATCAACTGCAACTTAGGGGGAGTTTTTTGCACTGTTTTGCATCCTATTTGCTCACTGCACATTCTCCTTGCAGCCTTCATTAAGATGAATGGCCTTGGCAATCTAAAAGAGGGAATGTTAGTTAAATGCATTAGTTGTCTGGCTCCAAGTAGCTGTTACTAYTTACAATTCTAGGTGTTAACACATTTATTTTATGACAATTTTTCTAAACATCAGAGCTATTCTTCCTTTTGTATATTTTCAAATAAAAATGCAATAATTGCATCACCAACCCGTTTCACAAAATCTTCCTTTACGCTGCTGTTTTTCATTTGCCATAACTTAAAATTACACAAGAAAACCTGTTTTATAGAAACTTTCTTCATTTTTTAAAAATTTATAGAAATATTTTGGAGTGGCTGAAGTTACAGAGGACTGTTCACAGGATAGTCAGATAGCATTTCAAACTTAAATCCAACTTATTTCAGACTATAAATACATTTATCTATTAAAATTAGAATACAGTCATACTTTAATGTCACTGGTAGCTTTCAATCATCTTTGATACCACAGTTTCACAGATAACTGAAGGTTACCAGTGACATTAAAATTAGAATACAGTAAAACAGCTGGAACTTTGAAACTTACAGCCAAGTTCCAGCTATTTTGCTTCTCAGACTCGCCAGTTCTGCTTGCTGTTCCCGCCCAGGAAAGCCATCCTTCTCAAACAGGATTCCTTGGCATGGTTACCAAAATGATTGTGTATTCCCTGTTACACGGCTTGGTAGCAACTTAGAGCAACAAAACCAATTAAGCTATTAGAACAGGTCTTGAATAGCCAGTCAGCTTATCAGCTTGTGCCCTATATACTGCACAAGGAAATACTTTAAAACTCAGTGCTTAGCAGGGTACCTTGAAGAACTCAGCACAACATTACTCTGCCAGCGAGGCATTTTATCATAATATTCTCTCCTTTGCTGCTTCCCCAATTCTGTATAGGTACATGTGTATCAACATAGAACCCAACCCAAAGAAAGAGCATAACAAGCCTCCTAGAAGCAACCATCTGGACACCCAGTTGACAGACTTTCTCCTTCTTTGGGTCTAAACTGATGAAAAAGCCTTTCTGTTTCGATACAACATTTTAATGTATTGCAATCAACATTTCAGTGCACTATACAGACCTTGGAGAACAAGATACAATTTTATTTCTACATAATAATCTCTCTCAAAAGCTAAATCACTCAGCAGTACAGTGACTGGGTTTATGGTAACACCTAAGGCCACTTGTCTCAACCAGGAAGAGCTTGGGTCAGCTGGGTAGCAAAACCTGCAGAGAAACAACCCAGAGATCATTAACCCCGGAACTGCTACAGACCCATTTCTCAGTATTTTGGTATATAAACTAGGAATTACTGAGGTATCCAAGTTGAAACAGGGTGTATATATAAGCCAGTTATTTACACTGCAGCGCAGGTTTGCTAGGTGATCTATCTAGCAAACTGGAGGACTCCAAATAACACACACTGAAACCTTGATAATGTTTTGATAAAATAGAAGTGTAAACCCCTCTATGTTCTTCATTGCACATGGCTATGAAAAAAAGGTCTATACTATGAAAAACAGGCACTTCACAATAGTTAGAGAAAAAAAATTGGCAAATATTTTCTTCATTCACTAACTTTCACACACAATTCAAGACCAACCTTAATGAATTTTTAAAGAAACCCTTCCTTGGTAAGGCTTGTGGAAATGTCCTCAGCCTGTCTTCTTATGCCCCGTCCCTCTTTTTCCACAGTTCTCTTGCATCAGAGCATTAAAATTGCATTCCTGTAACTGCCAAGAGCTGCTATAAACAGTTGAATGCTTCACTCATACTTTCTTCTAAAAGCTTATGGACTTCAGTCTTATATTTTAATTACTTTAGCTCTGCAGTATATTTTTATGATACGAAACAACAGAATGGTAAGTCAGTCATTCTTCCTTCAACAGAACCCTGTATGGCAGATATTTTCCAGAAATAAAGTAAAATTTCCAGGAGTAAATTCAAGACATGGTGATATCTCCAACAAACATACCAAGAATAATTACATTACAATTACCTTCTCAGTCAGCTACATATTACTAGGATTTTGAAGTTTCTGCATAGTTTTTAAACTAATATCTAAGACAAACAAACAASTGGAAAACCTACAATTACTGCAAAGCATTTACCCTGAAAACATCAATGCTCTTCTTTATGAGTATAGCTTCCACATAACTATCACCAAAGATGGTATCTATAGATGCTTTGAGCATAGGTCATCTATTTATTAATGCAAATTATTCTGAGACAATTTGGCAGTTCACAGAAAAAAGAAAAAGCTTTCAAGACATTAAGCAAGGGTAGCTTACCAAGAACTACTTCATTATTTAAATACTCAGTGCTCCAGACCCAACCTGTGCCCACAGCTAAATGAAATCCCCAAAGTGAGAAAAACTACCCATTTTTAGCAAACGAGAGGAAACCCACAAAATCAGAGCTGGACTTGTATTATATCTTGCATTAAAGGCTTACTTTTCCCTTCACAGCTGACTGCTATATCTTTCTGAAGAGAAAAAAAACTATTGATTTCACTGTCAATAGCTTGCAATGTTAGAGTACCAGGTAAACAGCAAACCAATACAGCAGAATCAAGATGCAAGGGACATTTTACTGGTTGGTCTTTAGTTTAATCTAGTAGACATAAGAAACAAAACCAGCAAAGGCAGATTATAGCCTTCGGGGAGCAGTCTTTGAATCCATCTTTACTCTAAATCATTAGTTTAGATACCAGAACATATGCTGCTAGCACGTTCAATACTACTATTAATATTAGAAAGAGCTAAGAAAAATAGCTAAAAATCTGTGAGTACCAAGTTTTGTGCATGAAACCCTCAGGATCAAGAAATAAAGTCTTACAAAACAAATTAACTTACCTTCGCAATAATTTCTGAAATATTCTTCAAAGATTGTTTGATTGGATATTTGGCCATATCCCACTGGAATCTTGTTACATAGGTGACCAAGTCAACTGAAATATTGAAGAAGGATTTTAAGATCGACAAAACTGATGCACTACCCTCCATTTAGGATTAGTGAAGCACAAGAGTTGTGTACTAGAAAGTTTGTGAACCTTCACATATATGGACTCTATTTCTTGAGAATTCTGAAAATAAACTACCAAATCAGAAATTGCCTGTGATCTGGGTTTTGGGAACATTTATGGACCCTAAATTAGACTTCCAAACAATGGCTGGAGAAGTGCTGAGAAGACCAGACACTCTTGTATAACTTATGTAAGCCTCAGTATGAAACAGTGTGAAATTTTACGAAGCTGTTGTTGAAAGCAGCGAATTGATATAGATATAAATGACATCGGTATAATGTTGCTTCCATAATACAGCTAGCTTTATAAAGATGCTCTGTGTCAATCTTGGAGCACTTGAAAATTCCAGCATAGTTTACTTAACTGATACCTACTCAGGTGACAGATTAATACACAGAAATGCTTACAGTAATTAGTATTTCCTTTGTATTTCACTGCATACTAGTGATGATGAAATAMAGCCCTAAAGGATCACAAGGCTTCTCCTGTATGTGAACACGTAACATGCAGATTTGTAGTTTTCTGTAATGCTGGATTCTATCATTTCTTTCAGGGCAAATGGTTAGCAGGAAARAGTACTTCTGTGCTTGCACTAGGCTTTCAAAACGTCCTACARAGAAGCAGCATTGAGTACTTTTCAAGAACAGAGCTTTCCCTCCTGCCACTTTTACAAGGTATATACTGCACTTAACACTTTACCTCCATTAGCCAAGAGATTTTCCTGAACTTTGTCTTTACTGTCTTCTAGAACATCACCCATATACTGGGCCACCTTCTTGACAACGCTGAAAAACAAAAGATAAAGGTAGGAGAAAAACAAACGAATGAATGAATGAAAGTACACTGCCATTGGAGAAATACCACCAATGAAACTGATCTGAAACTGCCTCAGAAAAGAATTAAGAGATTGGTCAAATATGAAGAATATATTGCTTTAAATCTAAATTTTCCAAGATACAAATTTGGCTTGGCATATGAAGGCCACCGACCCACTTCCAAAACACATGAATCTTATTGAAATCCTTCTTGACAGCTTTACCACTCATCAGTATTCAAAAAGGTAAGGCTACTTCCCTCGCCTACAGAGAATAAGGATTCACTTTTAGGTGTAATCCCACAACCCTCCAATCTTTCTTCTCTAGTATCTGGCAGCACACAGCATGACTACATGGAGAATCATCCCTCTTCAATTCATGATGTCCCACTATGATGTCCTAAGCTGTTTAAATTTTCTTTTTTTTGAGTAGAGATTTTAGTAGGAGATTAAAAAAACACCCCGCAGTTGAGCTTGCCAAGATCTTAACTTGCTGATCTGAACATAATAAAACATGTCTTTACTGCAAAGATGGTTGAACACTCGAGCAGGTTGCTGAGGTAGCCTGTGGAGACTCCAGCCTTGGAGATACTCTAACCCAACTGGACAACCTGCTCTAGCTGGCTTGAGCAGGAGTGGCTGGCCCAGGTGATCCCCAAAGGTTGTTTCCAAGCCCACCTATTCTGCAACTTCCTACACAGGACTATCATGCGAAAAAAATGAAAATAATCCATGTATCATTGTGATGYGGCAAACTATCATGTCATTGTTCTGGTACTTTGCACAACAGAGTAAACAAGCTGTTACCCTTCCACAAACGAATCCAGTTTAGCCAGCTCATCTGAAAGACCAACTAAAACATCCAGTGTGCCAACCTAGAAGGGAAGATCAAAATGTATTAGCAATTTTACATGCAAACCCAGAAAGATAAAAATAAATTACAATTTATTTGTTATATATAATAAATTATTTTATATATATCATTACATATACTATTACATATATTATTATATAATACATAATTATATATTATATAGCATATAATAATATGTAATATATAATATAATATATAATATAGTAATATATTGTTATATATTATTAATATATAATTGTTTTATATTACTTTATATATAATAAAATATTATAATATTTATAGTATATCATTTATATATAATATATAAAATAAATTACAATTTATTATATTACAGTAAATCCCACGAGGAGGCAGTTTTGCATAACTGCATAAAACACTAAGAATTCAGATTTGTTAATTTAAGTTAAACAAGGCTTAGTGTGCTCAAGATACGTTTAAGCTCCGTAGCATTAGATCTAATTCACTCTAGTTTGATGCACTTGTTCTGCATTCTAGCTACCCAAAACAGGTTAAAGCAACTTTTACATTATGAATTGGTTGCATTTTTGGCAAGTCATTTAATTCAAGGTTTGATTTCCTGCTTTAGATCGTAGCTGAGATTCCTGCAATCAAGCACCTCATTGCTGGAGGCAACCAGAACATGCAAGTTCAGAAGATGCAAGAGTCCTGCAGCAGTCAGGCCAACAGTATGCAATGCTTTGCATCCGTAAGTGAAACAAGGCTAGAGTAYATTTAGTTTGCCTTTTCCAGAAACTTTTCTCTAGCCAACATAATATTACCATTAGGGGGATTTAAATCTAGCATCTTTATTTCACACTGGTCCGCTGCATGAATCTGCACGATTCCTGCTCTCTCCAGCCTTGAAGCAGAAAGGGACACCACACAACCTTTCATGTTCTAATCACAAGAGGCCTAATTACTGGTTCCTGTAAAGTCCAGGGCTCCCAGGAGAATGATTTACGAATCTTMTGTTCCAGAAGTATTAGAAAAACTTGCACTGTTTAAGTCACAGCTGTCACAACCAAACCTGCCTACAAGCCCCAACATATAAAGAAACTAATGCTTTGACTTGTCACTTATAAGACACAGAACAAAAGTCATTAAGCCAATTCTATAGCCAAGCAAGATGACTGTTGTTCATTGAAGAGTAAATTAGTGTTTCAATAAGTTTCCATTAAGCACTTCTAGAAGAAACAGAGAAAACAGACTACACACCATAGTATACAAGTTTAAATACATTCAGCTTCACCATTTAAGGAGAGATTTTAGGTTATGAAAATACTAAAACCAAAACCAATTGATTACAAATCTAACGGGCCCCATGAGTTTTCAGCAATAACTCTAAGAACCATAGTCACGCTACAGTTTGAAAGTCATCTCAGGTCCAAGGATCTCTTGGTAAAAGACTGATGTTTGCTGTAGCAGTTCTTCTCATCTCCTCCAATACAGCTCTTGAAATAACTCAGGACTCTCTAAGGGGGGAATGTAAATGACTGAAGCTGGAAGGTCCCCTACAAAACATCCTACAGCACTGCATGCTCTGGGCCCACTCATCATGGGAGCCAGAAATGAGGCATCGTGCCCCCTGAATCTGTCCACACACAGCTACAGGTTGTGCTTCTTCCCCCTCTCTCACTGCTAGCTTTCACTTCTCAAAAGTTCAATGAAGGTCACAGTCATGAGACAGTTTTGTGTCAGGACAGACCATTTCTTAGGGAACACACTAGCTTCTAACTTCTCCACACCCTGATAATGGGACTTAACCAAGAGAAACTGCTTTCAATTTTTGCTTTTCTTCCCTTCTCACAGAAGTAGTTTAAACCGTATCTCTAATTTTCCACCACACACCTCGGCAGAACATATTTAAGCACTCAGCTGGCGACAACAGCTACTTTGCCAGAAGAATCTTTTGATTTGGACACAGAAAACAGCTATTTCCATTCAAAAAACAAACAAACATTTTACATCAAGCCATTTCACTGCATCTCAGCCAGAAAAGGAGAAGCAGACAATTGAGAAGTAAAAGTCAAAGACAATCATCTCAATACTCAGATGACAAATCTTCATTTGCATTTGAGGTGCTAAACTTTTTGCTTCAGCTAACTGCATAAAGTCACAACTACTTCCCCAGAAAAAGCTGCTGCAGTAGCTGAAAAAAATGCAGATTGCAAAACCTTGAAAATTGAAAAGAATTTTTGGCTGAAAATTTCATAAAAATGTTGACTAAACTAAGTTTTCAGATCCACACATACTTAAAAGAAATCAGCCGTTTCCCTTAAAGATGCCTGTGACTATTCAGCAACTACAGCTTTAGTGTGAAGAAACAAACACAATGTAAAACAAACACGTGTCTTAATAGATGGCACAGGGCTTACGTACCTTTAAGTCTGGAATATTGAACTTGGAATTCGTAGAAAGATTGTTATGTTTTGTTGTTGCTGCATGTAGTTTCTCCCATGTCTGTTGACAGGTCTTTTCCCCAGGAGCAGAAATCAGCCAAAACTCCGTCATTTTTTTGTCTGTATCTTGATGCTTTTTATTTCCAAAGATACAGTCAAGACACTGTGAAAAAGAGGGAAGTTTGGGAAGAGGGAAGGGACACAGAGAGAATTTGCTTAGTTGAGGATTCAAAGCTTTGCCTTAAAAAACATTCTCTCTTCCATGCTCCTAAGTGCAGCTCTGGGCACCAAAAATATTCTAAGAGCATCACATGATTCCAAATTTGCATTTTCCTGACTTCCAAATCACATTTTTACAGTTGGAGCCTTTTAAAGCTCTCTATCTTGCAAGCTAAAGCAGGTGGACTTTGCAATATCAGCATCTTTCAACTATAGTTCCATGAAATATACTAAGCAATCAGTCCAATTGGAAATAAATACAGTAGCATAGGATCCAATTATATTTTCATGGCTGTATCAGCCAGCATCAACAGAAGACCTATTTTTTTTCTGAATACATGGGAGGAAAAAAAAAGAAAAACAAAAAAAAAAAACCAGATTTCAACCCTGATGTTACAACTTCGTAGCTTACGACAGTATTTAGAATCTATTAAATGTCTAAAAAGCATTTAAATAAAGCTTCAGTTGAAAATATTTTTAGTAAAAAAAGTTGTGCATTGTGCACATATTGTGTATACTAACATCATATAACAGTGTATCTGCACTACATAAAAATAATGCTGAGATACTCCACAGTGAGCTGAGGAAGTTAAAAGGCTTATACACCTTCTTCTGTCATTAAGAAATAGAGCAGTGAGTTAAGAGCTTGTGGATTTTTTTAATTGAGGAAAGACAATTAAAAAAAAAAAATCATACCTTCAGAGAAGCAAATTACCTTCTGCTGCACATTTTGGAAGAAACTAACTTACATTTTAAAAAGAGAGCCCCAACTACAGTGCTCAACTTTTTCTGGGAGAATTAAATGCCATATTTGTAAGAACCAAGACAGAGTAGAGCATAAAACACACATGGGTCCTGCATCTTTGTAATAGTTCTGGACCCTTGATGATTTGTTGACTCCAGAAGTGACAAAAATGAACCAAGTCTTGTTAAGAGATGTTTCTGTTAGCTATGCAGGAAGCCTAAAGCTGAGGAAAGTTCACCACTCCATCAAATCAACACCGTGTCCATGGTGTTACAGTGTCTGGTCACGCTGCATTCATGGTTTTAGCAGTTATCAGGAAAAATATCACATAGGAGGGTTTGCCACTGATAGAACGTGATCTATGTTACGAGGCTTCCTTGCTCGGGAAACACTAACTGAATTCTCTCACCCAAGGGGGCTCCTCAGGATGTCTCCTGTACAGTGACACTTTGGAATGAGACAAAACTTCATCTTCTCCAGCTATAGCTGCGTTACCCTCCTTAGCCCACGCCCCACCTGGGGAATCCACTGCACCCCGTGCCCTGCTGCTGTAAGAGACATAACCGGGTTGACTGTAAACTCACCCATGCGAGGAGCTATCGCCGCTGCTTATGAATGTGCTTGAAGCACTGAAGTTTTAACTTGCTTTTGTTTGGGATTGACCGCAACTTGAAAGCAGCTTTGGGGTGGCTGCTGAAAAGAATAAGAGGACGTTCTGGCAGCAGAGAGCAAACACTGGAGCAGAACAGAAATCCAAGGCAGCTCCCATTCGGTAAAAGCGATGGAAGCTGCACCTGCATGTTTTCCAGTGAGGCATAACTAGCCCTTAAAGAAAAGGCAACTGTTTCCTTGGTTGGCCTCATCTATGGAAACTTTATACATTTTCATAGCAACAGTCAGTCCCCATGCTACAGGCTGTTAAAAAAGTATCAGATTACTGTTAAAACTCTGAATACCTGTTCCTTTGAAATAAACTTTATGGGCCCATAGAAGWGAATAATTGTTTTTAAAAAGTTTTTCAAGTTTTAATTTATGTTTCAAAGACTTGCTCTGCAGACTTCTTATGGAGACTACAAGGCAGTAGTAAACACAACAGAAGGTACAAACACTTGACAGTGGGGCTGCAGCAAAACTGTTTTTTTCTGCTTAAACCAAGTGCAGCGCTTGTCCATTCCTTAGCATTAAAGGRACTGGTTGGTTTTCCTCAGCCATGGCTCCATTTCCAGGGGCTGCTGGCAATCAGGTGAGTCACTGTTTCAGGCACCTACTGAATGGAAGGTCTTATGAACCAGGCAGGGGAAAAACGCTGCTACACAAAGAGAGTGAYGTTATCTCCTCTAGACCAGTCAGTTATTCTGACTAGTTTCAGTACAGGGGCTTCTTCCAAGTTCCATAGAGATTACCCAATATCTACAGTGAGAAGAGCTTTCTGGGCTTGTTAATGTTTATTTTCTGTTAAAGGGAATGGGGTTTGCGACCAGGACCAGAAGAAGTAGAGAACAAGAAGTGGGGAAAGGAGAAGTATCACAGAACAGTAAGAAAAGGGGAAATTATGCTAGCCAGCAAAACCCAGAGCACAATGACCCACTATAAATCGAAGGCCATGAAAACCTTCTATGGAAGGACCACAGGACAGAGTAGGCACTGTGAGACCAAGGATTCACATCTTTTAAGTATTTACACAGGTATTAAACAGTAAACTATTATTGTGTTGCTTTGAACTGCAAATACTGGAATCTACCCTTCCTTCCACTGCGGGGAATTTGTCCTCTCTTCAGACCAAGCAGTGTTTGTAATCTCACGAGCCCAGCAGGCTACAAAACCCACCAGGTCTCATGTGGGCTCTGAAAAGGGGCCATGARAAGTCCCTTGCAGCAGCCCCCACATCTCCCTCCCAATAGCTGGGATGCATTAAACAGAGAGCCCCAATGCAAACTCACAAGTCAGCTGTTCTGTACTCTTGCATCCCCACCAAGTACTACTGAAACGAATTTCTCATAGCACAGTTTAACAGCTATTGTYATTATTCCGATTACTTCTGATGTAAACACATAAAAAAGCAAAAATATCCATAAAGTGATACTTGCATCTTTAAATGGAAGGGTTTACAAAGACACATCAACTTAGAAACACCCTGTGCAGAGCACAAACACTGTTTAGCCAAGCCAAGTATTATTTTTCTTCTGAATGCCCATTTACTACCATAGTGCGCAATGACACTAAATGAGCAGAAATCACGGTCCCAGCCCTGCGGAATAAGGACAGAATCACTTAGGACTTCAGGAGTGAAACTGCTTCTGAAAGGCCACGGAAAGTATTTTCCAGCAAACTTCAATAAAATATATTTACAGCTGAGAACATAACACCTAAAACTAGACAAAAACTTCCACTGACAAAGTCTCCCTCTGGAGACAAAATCTCCACTCTGACATTCACAGCTTTTATGAACCAATTCTGGAAGGGCAGGTTTATGCACTGCATTTAGCTGGCTACACTGACACTCTTCATACTACACATTATGAAGTTATAATTTTAACATGGATCAACTAAAGTTCCAGTAGCTCAACAAGAATATTTGATCTTACAAAAACAGCAACGTTTTGACCTATCTTCACCTTGTTTAGCACTCAGAAAGAACACATATTATTGATTACAAGGCCTTAATAATAGAAGTTTATTGGAACACATGTTCTTCGTTTTTGATTCTGCTAATAAGCAGCATCCCTGTGAACTTTCCTAACACTCTTTTTGCAATATCTGCAATATTGAGATAGAATGTCTCATTACCATAAAAAGAGACACAGACTGAAGTAGAGACATTATTAAATGCATCTGCAGTAGACATTGGGCTAAACTGTCCATACTAGACGTTCAAAATATTTCGCCTCTTGATGCATTTCCCTACAACGCCTGTTCCCAAGCCACAAGCAACACCCCACAGAAGCAGCACCTAACAGAAGCACCTAGCTTCCTAACACCACCCGCTTTTCGCGCTGTGGGGGAAAGGGGCMATCGAAGCGCATTTCAGCGCCGGGCCGGGCGGGCGGCGAGGCCTGTGCGCGGGCGGCCCTTCCAGCCCCGCCAGCGGCCTCCGCGCCGCCTTTCGCGACACCAGCGAGGCCTGAGGAGCCGGGGGACGGCGCTTACGTGTCCCCGCTGGGCTCGGGCACCCGCTGACGCCACGGAGGGATCCCCGACACGCGGCGCGCCGCTAAGCCGCCGAGATTAAGCGCCGCTCAGGCGCCAGGCCTCGCCACCGCAGCGCCCCGCGCGCGGAAGCCACGGCGGGAAGCGGCGGCGACACCGAGATTGCACCGCGGGGACGCGGCGAGGCGCCGGTACCGCTGCGGGAAGGGCCACGGCCCGGGCCGGCCTCGCGGAGCGGCGCGCAGGCCCCGCGCCGCCCTCGGGGACGCGGCGGTACCGCGGACCGGACCCCAGGAACCGGGCCGGGCCGCCCTGGCCCCCCCGCGCCGTCCCGGGCCGCACTCACCGAGCCCGGCGCGCGGGGGAGGGGAGGCGGCTCCCAACGGCTCTAACCGTCACTGCTCCATGGCCCGCGCTGCCGCCGCCGCCGCGTCACGTGAGCGCCGCTCAGCTGACGCTGACGCTGCGGCGCCGCCCACGAGGCGCACAGCGCGGGGGCGGGGCCGGAGGGGCGCCCTTTGGAACGCGGGTTCGAGACCTGCGGGCGGCTACTTCAGTCCGGCCTGGCCCGGCATGGCCCGAGTCCCAATCCCGTGGATTTTGTCACCTCAAGTGTTCACAGAAGTAACTGCCGTAGGTTTAGTCCAGCTCAGAGCACGTTTGTAGTCTGGACTCTGCCTGGGCGGCAGCTCCTTCCTTCAACCTCAGCCATTTGCACTGCTCCTCCGTCACCAGAGCAGTCGCTGCTCTTAAAAATGCTCCCATTCCCACACAGCCCACTCCCATTCCCGCACAGCCTGCAGCCTTTCACCGTCGCCACTTGCCCCCACTGGTAYGATTTTATTAGGCAGGCATTCTTGATATCAGCATAAAAAGCCTATGGTAATATAGTGYAGGAAAATAGAAAGTTCCCCAGATTAAATACAGGCAAACTTATTTTTGACTACCTCTATTTTAAGTTCCAGCAAGACTCATCTATAAAAGATGAATTACCAACATTCAGTCCATTTCCTATGGGAATTCATATGTAGCTGAGCGATAGGCTTGTTTACTCATTAGCACTGCTAGCTCTTCCTTAGAAACCTAGCAATATATGACATATATCAACAGTAACTTACAAAAGGAAATTGCTATGTTATTTATGGAACAATATACATTTTTTTTTTTTTTTTTGGAATGATCCATAGCTCCAAAGTATCAGATGAAAACTGGACATTAACCTCTGTGAATAAACATAGCAGTTATTGATACTGTAAAGCAAGTAGTTAACGGAGGAATCGAGAGCGTTTCTGACCTGCATGACGAGAACATGCTTGTAAATCTGCAGGATGGGGCTCTGAGGACCAGGATTTACCATGTGCCAGTTAATGTCCTGATGTGGTTCTTCTTATCATGATATCTGTGACTTGGTTAATTAAGATCAAAGATGTGCCCGGGCCTGTGGGCAGCCTGTAAATAAACAAGAAAACAAGAGAAAAAAATCAGCACAGGCTGAATAGTCAGGATATTAGCACTCTGAATAAACACAGAGTGACTGTGAGCTACAACATGGTCTTTAAACAACTTGTCAATTTTTTTTTCTGCTGTATTTTTTGAAAAGTAATTACCTGTTTAGGTCTTCATTTAGAAATCTAATTCAAACATCCAAATTTGTGTCATAGACCTTGGATCAGCTCTCCAAATATTCAGCGTTAGACCTGTATTCAGCTTTGACTTTCTGAATAACTCGTTTTTGTTAAGCAGGCACGTGCGCAAGGTAAATGGAGTTTGAGTTGAGTATACAGAGGTAATTGCAGACAGAAATAATGGGCCCTTGAGATCAGGAAAACTTATGTGGCAGCTAAGCAGCAGAAATAACCATGYCAGGGTTGCTCCTCGTTTTACCCACTGCGAGAAAATGTAGCTCTTTTAGAATTGYCGAGTGAAAATAACACGAGATGGGCCTCATGCTGCTGCATTTCACAGCTGCCACATTTCAAAAATCCCAGCAATGAAAGTGGCCTTAGCCACTGGAAGCTGATGCAGCTAATCCCAGTGCTCATATGGCCCAAATTATGTGTCCTGCACTGTGGGTGACAGGGAGTCCCCAGCTGCCAGCGTTCCCCTTGCTAAATCCATGTCTCCCGCCCAGGAACTCTGGCCAAAACGCCCCTTCTGGGCTGGTGTCAGAAGCCATCCAAGGACTTGTCTCATGGAAGCACTACCAGTTGTTCAGTGAGCCCAGGTTTCCATTCCGTGTCCCCTCTCAGTGAYGGATGTTTCCAAATTAAAAGTAGTAAAAGGATTTTAGCTTTCATCCTACTGCAATGAGCCTTGCCATTGCCAAGCACATCTTAGGGAAACGGGGATTTTATTTGAACTGCGAAAATACAGGTTTTATTTGACTTATGAGTATTCCCCCCATTCTCTATTTGTTAGTTTTGATTTGTTGCCACTTCTTTTTTTTTTTTTTCTTTTGTTTTTTAACTGTGCAGAGCTATTTTCTTCTGTGGGATATGGATGACACATGCAATGTCAACCGGCAGATATAGTGAAGATTCCCCATGCTCTGAGGCCTATTCCTTACAATTATATAGACAAAAGAGCTWCCTGAAGACAGTGCACTATTGCCGCCAGTTTTAATAAGATAGGAATTTTACTCACTGCCTTTTTTAATGAGTACATAGGATTTTTTTTTGTGATACAGTTACTAAAATAAAGAATCTATACAGCTTGCAGAGGTAAAGGTCTAAAAGTTGGAAGTTTTATTTTCTAAGGCCTGAGTGAATATGTGTAGATAAAAGTAGATCAAGAAACAAACAAACAAAAAAATGCAATATATATAGCACAATATTCAGGTATAYAGGATTCAAATATCTCAAATATCACAAGTACAGTGGGGTAAGATGTTGGTATGCGTAACATAGTGGAAATGGCAGTGTAACACGTGAGCCTTCAGCCTCTGTAAGTTTTTATAGCAGAATCAAAGAAGAGTCTGCTGGTAGGAGGATGAGAGGGGCAATATTGTTTTGCCAAAGATACTCAAAGCATTTGGGATGAAAGGGGTGATGCTCAGTTCTCTGTTTTCTTTGCCCTTCTCTAGTCCGAGACTAGAAAGTATGGAGAAGAAATAAAGTGGTATTACTTTGTTAGTAACTTTTATTTTCCTTGAAGGTGATGATGCAGCTTCTGAATGCATCTTAATAAAAAATGCCCATCAAAACATATTGCATTTTAATCTTTCTTGATGTTGCCTTGGAGACACAAACTTTATGATTAAAACTGAAATATTTGAAAAAAATACATCTGCAAACAGAAACAGAAATGGTGTATTTTCTGCAGCTATTGTTTGTGACTAGAAGGATTTACACTTTCTTCTCTGTTTTAAAACTTCCTCCCTCAAACTGCATTCAACTTCAGATTGAGGACTTGAGGAAACCAATTAGCTTGAATTTACAAGAAAATCCTGAATTTMCATAATCTTTAGTTTCAAGTCTGTTGAAGTCACTGTATATCTATCTGTGTATATACATATTATACATGTTATGCAAATAAACATTTCATTATCTGAGTAGCCCAGGGAGCATCTGGCCTTGCTGTGTTCCATGTGGGAACAAGGCCCTTGGGTATCCAACTGATTCAGGATGTGGAGCTGAGCTACTTGGGAGCATGACTGGCTTGTGCAGTGGGCACCAGGAGGCTCAGCACTGCCACAAGCCCATGTTTCTGAGCCTCTGCTAACAGAGCTAAATTTATCACAGAATCACAGAATATTCAAGGTTGGAAGGGGCCTCTAGAGWTCATCTAATCCAACCTTCCYRCTCAAGCAGGCACACCTAGAGCATGTGGCACAGGGTGGCATCCAGGCAGGTTTTGAAGACCTCCAGAGGAGACTCCACAACCTCCCCAGGCAGCCTGTGCCAGGGCTCTGTCACCCTCACAGTGAAGAAGTTCCTCCTCACCTGGGGACGGAACTTCCTGTGCTCCRGCTTATGGCCATTACCCCTCGTCCTATCACTGGCCACCAATGAAAACAGCTTGTCCCATTCCTCCCTGCATTMTCCCTTCCTGAACTTATACATATTAATCATATCCCCTCTCAATCCAGGCCTGGATTTGTCCAAAGGGGCTGASAAGGCTRTAGCCTCGTCCTGGAGCCCGTGACACATTTCAGCCAGGAAGCAACACAGCATTTCACACGTGTTGCACCAAGCTTTGTGTTAGTCCCTCTCTTGCATGACATTAGATCAGACAAGGAGCACTTTGGCCAACGTACCTGCRCGTGCAGCAGCTGAGCTCACCTGGCTAGGCCAGGACTCCGCAGGCTGCACCATGTTTCGGGCAGTGACACATTTGTCCTGCAGCAGGAGCCTGGGAGCCCAGGTAGGGTCTGTCAGCAGGGTGCCTGGGTGCCTCGGGGCTTGCAGAAGCAGCAGGAATGAGCTCTGTGGACACCAGTGATGCTTGACGTTAATTCAGTCTTAATTAACCGGCTGAATTCACCGTTGGTCTTTGATGCTTTTGGTGACCATGTAATTCTGATAACTTTTCCTTTTCCTTTTCTCTTTCTCTTTTTCTTTTTCTCTTTCTCTTTCTTTCCCTTTCTCTTTCTCTTTTTCTTTTTCTTTTTCTTTTTCTTTTTCTTTTTCTTTTTCTTTTTCTTTTTCTTTTTCTTTTTCTTTTTCTTTTTCTTTTTCTTTTTCTTTTTCCTCTTCCTCTTCTTCTTCTTTTTCCTTTTCTTTTTTTTTTCTTTTCCTGCTTTTAATATGATTAAATAAAAAGTCAATTTAGGTAGTTTGATTATCACAATATTATTTCAATTGGAAAGATGGAAGCAATATGGAACCACAAATCACAGCAATCGTGGATTGACAACTTAGATTTTATGAAAGGTTTTGAAGATAAAGTACTAATAAAGTACATTTATACTTTATAGTACTTTAAATACTAATGAAGTACTAAAAGTATAAGGACTTTATAAAGTACTAATTGTTACAAGCTGGCATCTGCTCTGTAAGCAGATCAGGGCATAGCTTGTGACTTCTCAGAGGCTGCCTTTGAACACAGAAGTTGCTGACTGGAATGCAGATAATAACTATACAAGTGCTTGCGATAGGGGAAACAAAAGTTCTGTCTCATTTCTGTACAATCATACAAGAGAAATTTCCTCTCATTCTTTCCCTTTGCTTATTATCCTGGCTAAATTCGTGTCCCAACACAGCATTATGCTAGAAACAATATGAGGGCCCAGTCTGATAATAAACTACGTGGCAGCGGTGCCAGCTTGCAAAGTCATCGTCTCCCTCCTTTGTCCTTGACTGCAGGTCCCTTCCCTGTTTTATCTCCCCTCTGTCCAGTACAGTAGTTGCACAAGATATTGTGGCCGCACAGGGGACTGGATTGGTAGACCGGTGGAATGATGTGGCTGGAAAACAATGCTTTATTTTGCCCAGAT